ATGGTCATTATCACACGTTGTAGTAAGCATATGAGATACAGTGTGTTCAATAGTGAGCTTTTAAGCAATTATCACGCATAAACGAGCTGACTTAAATTTAACAGACAAACATGAGAATGGTGTACATATATTTATTTGAGTATTGGCATGACAGTGAAGTGTCAAATAAAAATGAAATAACCTTAGACAGCACAGGTAATGTCAAAGTTGATATCAAATGGATTTAATTGGCAATTCTTTAATTTTGTGAGGGATTACTCACACTAAATGGGAAATAAGATGGCTCTTAAATCTGCCACAAATGTCCCTGTTGGTCAATCCATAAAAAAATGTATTATTAACGCTGTTGCTCACAGTCTGAATACATGTCTAAGTCTACAGTCGAAACAAGGTACATTTAGTTAATAAAAACAAGTTATTATAGGAGGCTCGTGTGTGATGACCTGGTAAATGGAGTTGGTGTCTTTTAGGGAAAAGGAGTGGTCACTAATGTCTCTCATAAATACACGTTTTTTGAATTTCGATGTTGAAGAAATGAAGACAGTAGTGACCACTCGTCCTCTAGGCATCTGGTTGGCTTAGAGGGAGGGGTGGGCGGGGCATGAGTCTATCCCTGAAGTAACACCTGCTCCTTCTGGCTGCCACTCAAACAGAAACCTACTTCCTTTTTTTTTTTTTTTTAAACTCTTCATCCTCTCCTTTGTCCTGCTGCTCTAACACCCTCCTTTGTGTGTGTGTGTGTGTGTGTTCTTGTCTTCATGTGGCTGTGGTGACGTACGTTACAGAAGCAGAAGAACATCGCAGGAGCGCTGGCGTTTTGGATGGCCAACGCCTCGGAGCTGCTCAACTTCATCAAGCAGGACCGAGACCTGAGCCGCATCACGCTGGACGCCCAGGACATCCTCGCACACCTCGTCCAGATGGCTTTCAAGTACGTGTGTGTGTGTGTGTGTGTGTGTGTGTGTGAGGGTGAGGGTGATGTGTGTGAGGGAGGGAGGGAATCTGGAATATCATGGACGTTTTAGAGATATATTCCAGGAAGAAAAAAGGCAGGGAATTGAGAAAGTTCTCTGTAGAAATCAGGGCATATGAGAATATGATAAATCTATGATAAAAAAAACCAACTAATTTGCTGTATAGTTTTTTTTATTCTGAATGGAAAGAAATTAAAATATACGTGGTTAGTCCTAGGTAACGGTGAGCATGTGAAATAAGAATTGTATAGATGAAACCTATTTTGCTAAAACCCCCAAAGAAATGTGGATATTTTAATTTAGTAATGTAGGTCATCATATGTCTAATCTGGAAACAAACTTATATAGAAATAGCTATGCAAGTAATGGCCTCAATATTGCAATAAAGGCACAGCATTAATGAATAATTTCTATTGTAAAAATAGCAACATTTTGATTATAGTAACCATGGTAATGTTTGATAGATCTGGGTTCAATGTTAAAGTCTTTAACGTGCTGCTATGTGTCTGTACAGGTACCTGGTCCACTGTCTCCAGGCGGATCTGAACAACTACATGCCCGCCTTCCTGGACGACCCCGAGGAACAGAATCCACAGAGGCCCAAGATCGGTAATACACACACACACACACACACACACACACACACACACACACACACACACACACACACACACACACACACACACACACACACACACACACACACACACACACACACTTGTTTCCATCCCTTGAATTAAGTCCATCTGCAACCCTGATGTTATTAATGTTATTCCTTTGTAAACGTTTAGAAAATTCTTAAACGGTACATTTTTAGATAAGACAAGAGTCCGATTGTTATGAAAAGTACATTTTGATACTATTCTATGCTATTTCTTGGAGCATCCTAACCCTTATGATGGGAAATAGTATTTAAAAAAAGCTTCATTCAGTCAAGGCTACATGCCCACAAACCTGCATGAGTGGCTCTACACAGACACTGGAGTGAGTTTCAGACGGTTCAGAATACACCAGAGAGCGAGAAATGTGTTTTTACCTCAGCTATCTGTACCCCCATAATGTTGTGCATGTATCTGATCTCTCTCTCTCTCTCTCTCTCTCTCTCTCTCTCTCTCTCTCTCTCTCTCTCTCTCCCCCTCACAGAGGACGTACTTCACACGTTGACAGGGGCGATGTCGTTACTTCGGCGATGTCGAGTGAACGCCGCTCTGACCATACAGCTGTTCTCGCAGCTCTTCCACTTCATCAACATGTGGCTCTTCAACAAGCTGGTGACGGACACAGACTCGGGGCTGTGCTGCCACTACTGGGGGGCGATCCTCCGGCAGCAGCTCAGCCACATCGAGGCCTGGGCCGAGAAACAGGGCCTGGAGCTCGCTGCGGACTGCCACCTCAGCAGAATCGTACAGGTAGGAGGACCGAGGGGACTGGGGAGTAAAGAGAGAGATAGGGAAGGTCATATATTTCCATTTACTTACAGAGATGGTAAAAGTACACACATCCTTTACTCAAGTAGAAGTACAGATACTCGTGTTTAAAAAGACTCTGGTAAAAGTACTGACTAAACGTCTTTACTCAAGTCAAAGTAAAGAGGCTTTGAAATGTACTTCAGTAAAAAGTACCCATAACTAGCAGCTGTTTTAAAGAGTACCTGACCTCCCTTTATATTAATAGAACAATAATGTCATTGTTAGCTAATGAATGTTTCCATGCTGAACAACGGCAACATGACAACGTTTCCATTGGTCCCTCTTCTTTAGAGAAGAGCAGGATTTACTTGCACATCTCAAAACATTCTCTTGCACTATTTGATCTGTTTTATTTGTTCTATGTCCTATATATATATATTCATGTTTCTCTGTTGGAGGAGCCTATGAAGTTTTTCACTGACATAGCTACATGGTAGCTAATGTGACAATAAAGCCTTGAATCTTGAATTGATTATTTAGACATTTTTATAATTTTCACACTAAATATGATTTATCTTTTATGGATTGTAATTTATTTGCAATTTATTTGGTCAATAATAATTATACTTATTTGTTATGATAGCCATTATTACTATTATCATTATTTTAGTTGTATTTATTATTATTTTATTGTTTTACATTTTAAAAGATTTTCTTTTATTGCATCGTAAAAATAATTTATTTTGGGTTTAAGGCAAACAAAAAGCCATCTATTTTTGTTTTATTTTATACTGTATATAGTATACTGTAATAATGTAAAGTAAATATATATGATCGGATTGGCAAAAACTTCATAATTTGAATTGACCGCCATTGAAATTACAGCTTTGTGGGTGGAGCCGTCATGTTTGCCCGGAAGTGACGCATGTGTTACTCTCATCTATGTAAAGTACATATATGGACAAACACAGTTAATATAGAATGTTAAAAATTTTTTTTAAATGACTTAAAAAGCTCCTGATAACTCGTTGTTAATGGTACGGACTGTATTTATCCAGAACACTCAATAATCTTGACTGCATAATACAACAAAAAAATAAACCCTTGAGTTTAAAATGTAAGACTTCAGCACATCTGCTTCCTCTCAGGACTGTTTGTTGTGTGATCAGATTTGACTGACTCTAAGCCAACTTAAGCAAACATCCCAGCATCTGTCGTCAGATTCTGATTATTGTGTTGTGAAAATTCAAGTGATGCGTGAACACATCTGACATCAGAGCCTCGCCTTTTCAAACCAGGGAGGAAAACAAAGCATCGCACGGAAATCTGTCAGAGCTATGAAGGATAGAAATTAGACTCGATTACTTGAAATATGCAAGGCTGGCAAGTTGCTTTACAAAAAACATAAACATTCTAAAAGACATTATAAATGCTATTTAAATACGCATGAGCTCAGCCCCCTCCTTTTTGTCATTTAAAAAAATATTTGTATATATCTGAGACCTATGCTATTGCCAAAAAAATAGCATGATATGTGACCTTTAAATAGCCAAGAGAATACAAATTAAAGTTTAGGATGTAAATATTTATTAGATTGATAAAAGTCAGCGTCAAACTTATAGTAAAATAAACGATAACTTTTCAAATGCCATTTCTTATTCATAATAAGGATTTCTATTTAACGATTCAACATTATTTTTTATTGCAAAGTCAAGGACTATGTTATGGGGAAAGAAAGGATAAAAAATATAAGGCAAGCTATGCATTAATATTCTCTACTCTCTTGATCTTAAGGACACTAGACAAGACCTCAAATATACAGACAGATATGATGCTCATTTAAAGTGTTTTTCCCCCTGTGTTTCCTCCAGGCCACCACGCTGCTGACGATGGACAAATACTCCATGCAGGACGTGCAGAACATCCACAACACCTGCTTCAAGCTCAACTCCCTGCAGCTGCACGCGCTCATGAACAACTACCACTGCGCTCCAGACGAGCCTTACATCCCGCCCGTAAGACAACAACACTGAACACGCTCTAAATATTCAACTCATGCAATACAACCCAAGCTCCCAGGAAGTGCGCCGGACTCTGAGGAAAATATCCGTTGTGGCCAAACGGCGGTACTACACTTCCGTATCAGTCGCTGGGCCCGGAAACACTTTTTCCCATTGACTAACATTGGGAAAGAGACGTCTGTAAATCGTTGGATCATTTTTTTAAAACTAAATAAACTACCCAGTATGAACGTTTGTATAGCCCTTATTAAAAACATTCGTTCCTCAAGTTGTAAAATGTGCTAATAACGTTATTCTGAGAGTTATTTCCCTCGGCATTATGAACGCGCATCTAACCCACGGGACCGCGCCGCCCGGCACGTTCATGTGACGTGTTCAGTACTACATGAGTTTCACCTTTACCCATGGATGCACAATAAGAACGGATTATATGATTATATGAATACTTTCGTGACGTTTCGCTCTCTCAAGTTGGGCCATTTTGTCTTCATGCGCCAATGAGCAACTCTCATAGGAATGAACGCGGCCCCGCCTCCCACGCTGTATCCAGTTCTTATTATACATCCACGATATAATCCAACTGTATTTATATAGCACATTTAAAAACAACAGTTGACCAAAGTGCTGAAAAAATGCATTCAGACAAAACAAATGTAAAAGCACGAGACAATAAAACAATACTTGTAGCCACAGACTGAAAAACTCTCATACACGATGTAAGAACATTTTAAAACACAAACACGCTTATAATGTCTACACTTTAATTAGAATGAGTTATCTACACACCATTTTTATGTAACACAGCGCCTGCTTTACTCTCGCTGCATCACCTGCATCCAGCAGACTCATATGTGGATCATTTGTTAAAGATCTGTAAAAGAAAAATCCACTTACTTTTAAATATGTGTATCTTTTGAAAGCAGCTTTTTTTTTATGTAACTGAGGCAGGAAATGTCATACCTATGTAACATGCTTTCAAAGTTATTTCCTTTTCTCTAGTGAAAGTACTTCGAACGTAATAATCAAACACTGTAACAATAGAGCATTTCAATCTCAGTTAACAATAGCCAGAGTTCAGACATTTAAACATAATTCTTT